CCCCCTGCCTGCTCTTCACACCTCCCAAGGTGACAACACCATCCTGGGCGCCTGGGGAGACACCCCCTGCTGGATGTGGGCCCAAAGCTCGCTCTGGGTTTCCTGCTGTGGGGAGAAGACAAGGAGGAAGGTTCTGCCGGGCCCAGATGCCAGGATTGGAGGCCTAAATGTTGGCACTGGCATAGCTTCGGAAACGGGGCTGTTCTCCCAAAAGCCCTTGTCCTCCTCAGGTTCTGCAAAGCACTTCTGTTGTCCTGCACTACCACCCCCCCCCAAACCAGGGGCATGGCTCTGATTGGTTGATTTCCTTCTTTTTTTTAAATATGTTTTATTGATTTTTTTTTTTTTTTAGAGAGAGAGAGGAAGGGAGAGGGAGTGAGAGACAGAAACATCAACAATGGGAGAGAATCATTGACTGGCTGCCTTCTGCACGCTCCCCAGTGGGAATCAAGCCTTTAACCCGGGCATGTGCCCTTGACTGGAATCGAACCCGGCACCCTTCAGTCCACAGGCCGACGCTCTATCCACTGAGCCAAACCAGCGAGGGTGGGTGATTTCTTCACTGAGCCTTCCGAGGTCGAGGTGGGAACCATTCAGACTCCTCTGTCTCCCCTGTAGATTCTCTGACTCTCCTACTCGAATGTAAACCCAAAGCAGATGGTCTGGTGTTCGTCTCTATGCCCCTAACCCTGTGCCTGGCACAGAGCAGGTGCTCAGTACATGTTTGTTAACCGAACGTACAAATGGGAATAAGTCAGAGTGGAAGATAAGGATGAAGGTGGCAGGTGCAGTGGAGGTTGGGGATGAGTTGGGTGTTGGGTGAGGTTAGATGCAGGATTCGGGGTACTTTTCAGGCTGGGTTTTAGGCTTAGGTGGCCTTTTGCTGGGCTGGGATGGGCGAGCACTTGCCCAGGCAAAATTGGGGTTGGGATCAGCATTATGGTCCGGAGCTGGGCTCAGGGTCTCTGCTCCTCTCCAGCCCCAGCCCCGAGGGCTCGGTGGACAAGCGCCTGGGAGAAGCAGACCAGGCGTTCAGGTTCCAAAGTCTGCAGGCTTCTGTCCAACTGGGTTTGCCAGACAGTGGGCGTTGGGGTAGGAGTTGTTTTTTTTTTAAATATATATTTTATTGATTTTTCACAGAGAGGAAGGGAGAGGGATAGAGTTGGAAACATCGATGAGAGAGAAACATCGATCAGCTGCCTCCTGCACACCCCCTACTGGGGATGTGCCCACAACCAAGGTACATCCCCTTAGCCAGAAT